GAAATAATATCATCTACACACTAATGGATGGAAAGAAAAATTGTTGACCTTGAAAAAAGATAACCTTACAAAAATAATATCATCTACACACTAATAATATGATGATTTTTAACAATTCATCATCATAAAAAGAGAACCATTATAAAAAATAAATAAAATAAAATAAAATTGCGACAAAAAAGAATAGGTTTGAGATTTATAGTTGATTAAGAAGTATAAAAAAGAAATTTGAAAGATCACCTTCTGAATGTAATTACACTCAAATCCCAATTATGTGTCTTTATGCTACATGAGAGTTTCAAATCACTGAACAAAATATTATGGAGAACAACTGATCCCAAGGAAATAATTGCACTATTAGAAATTCTTGAAAAAGCTATGTAACAAATACTTCATAAGTTTTGAGATATTTTAATAGAACAAATACTGCATCCCTTGTGCTTTGGCGCTATAACTAGTTTCTTCGGATTTATTGCACGATCAAACAAAACTTCAAAAATTTAGGGAGCTAGATCTGTGCATACGACTACAAATTGGTAAAATAACCGTAACATTCTTCAAATTCCGTAAGAAAATGTCGATATTCATTTTTTCAATTTCTTATTATCTTCTTAGAGCCTGCTAGGCATTGCTGCTAAAAACAACTTATTTTTAGAAACACTTTCAAATTGGCTTTTCAAAAAAGTGCTTTTGGGAAAAATAATAATTTGTGTTTGGCTAATTCATGCTGAAAAGCGTTTTTGATAAGCAAATTGCGTTTGACTGGTCTTTAAAAAAGTATTTTTGAGAGTCAAATTACAAAAAAGAACAACTATTAATGTACTTTTAATATTAAAATTATTTTATTGAGAGAAACTATTTTAAATATCTATTATAAAAAAAAAAAATTCTATTTAAATTAAAATGTACATATTTAAATTTTCAATCAATATTATACCTTTTTTAAGAGGCTGAAATCTATAATTGTTATTTATTTATTTTTTCTAATCTTGCAAAAATATTGTTGTTACCTTTTTTCCAATTCTGCAAAATAATATATAAAATATAAATTTTATTATATAAAAATAAAAAATAAAATTCTAAAATGAAATTTAACCCAAGCTTAGGCAATATACTAATTAATTAATAAGAGATATATTGATAAATATGTATATATGAAAAGGATATTTTGGTCTTGAGAAAATTATTTTTTTTTGTTTTAAGAAGTATAAATTTTTACCTTCTTCCCAACAATTTAATAACTTGTTTCTGCATCCATTCAAAAGCACTTTTACTGATTTACCGAACACTTACTTTTGCAATAAAAGCATTTTTTAAAAAAAAATGTGTTTCTGACCTCCCAACGACAATGTTAAACAGACTCTTAGGCATTGGGCACACTTTTACCATTGAGCTACGGCTCATTACTATTGTTGAGGGTGTCCAAAATACTTAATATATCAATATAAAGTAAGATTTGGCCTATATATATAATGAAATTTTTCGACTTTAGGGTGTTCAATTGGACACCCTGGAAGCAACCGTAGCTCTGCCCCTGCATCCATATGGATGATCACTCTCCCGAGCCAACTGAGTCATCATGAATGAATGACATGTAATTTAATATTATTATCTTATTATGATTTCCAAATTAGTTTGCTACACTTTTGAATATTTTAATGAGTATTAGCTCTATCGTCTATCATATATCATCATATCATATCATATATTACTATAAGTGGGAACAAAAAAAGTTAAAGTTGAATAACGATTTTACCCCTATTATAAATTAAAATATTATAAAACATTTAATTATTAATTTAAATATCAAATTATATCATTTTAATTAATATGTTAATGACTTTTGCACTACCTTAGATTAATTCCTAATTAAAATATCTAATTTAATACATATTTATCATCTATAGTCTATATGTATATAATAATAAATTATTAATAATAATAATCCAAAAATCTCTTCATAAAATGTATAATAATTAAATATTAAATTATTAAACAATAAATTGATCGTAGTATACTAATTAATACTAATGATATATCATCATATGGAAAGACAATGCTGTCATTGTAATTACTACCGATTTAAAACTAAAAGAAGAGGAAGGTTGATATTAATTTATTCATTAAATCATTCATATGATAATATCATTCATTTTTGGTCTTTTCAAATTCCCTGGATTAATGGTGGAAAAATATTCTCTTTATAGAATTTATATAAGAAGGCCTAAGTTCTTGACATTACTATTAACGTTATATTCATAGATGATTCTCACTTGACTGTAGCCTTTTTCATATTTTTTGTAAGTTGTGCACTATATTTTTTTTTCCACGAAGCAATCATTGCTCTTTTGATTTGGTTTACTTGGTCAGCCAGCAACATTTGCAGCAAATAGGTAAGGATCGTACTTCATTTATCTAGAGATCGTATGAAAAATATTTATGTCACTATTTTTATTTATTGATTTGATAAACATATTTCAAAACTTTTTATTGTTGTTTTTATTTCTTACTCGACAAAAATGTTAAAATTCAGTGGCTATGACCTTTTGAATTACTATAAGTTGCATCTACTAGCTTTAAGTTATAATTTATTATACAGTCTACCTACTAACTATATTTAGATGCTCAAATTTACAGGTTTGGACAATCATTTTCCATATATGCAATAATCAAGTCATTCAAATAGGTTCATTGTCAATCAATTTCAACTTGCACTTTAAATGGCTATACTAAATTCTACAAATATTTCTAACACCTTAAATCTCTTCAATCACCCCACATTTGTTGTATTATTTCAACCATATCAAATATATGCTCTTAAATTTGGCAATTTAAGGTTGAGTGAGTTCAAGGCACAAGAAGTGTACTTTGAACTATAGAACAGAAGTTGGCAAAAGATGGCATGGAGATGGTTTATTTCCGATATTATATTACACTGCATAAGGCACAATTTTCACTAATTTCTATTTTCTTTTGCAGGAATTAACTCAACAAGTCAGTAACATTCTATAGGTTTTAACATTTGGTCAGTAATATCCCTATCTGAAGTAAGAAGATAGAACACTATATGCTTCTTCCTTGTAAGAATTCACTGCTTAGTGTATTATTAATCTTTTTTTTCAATAAAAATACACCAACTTATGTTAGTTTCTTCACTTATATTATCTATCATAATCTTCCTTTGAGAAGTCTATGAATTTTGAGATGCAACAACAAACTAAAAGATAAAAACATGGATCCAAAAATGGTAGATGGACTGCATGGGGAAGAAGAAGTCGAGAAGGTGATATCTAGGTGCACTTGAATTTGAGAAGGCTTGATTTGAAATATGAATTTAATTTTTTATATGGTGTTTCATGCTCACACAAAATACATTGATGTTGACTTATTGTCATATTATATTTTATAATACAATATACATATTATTCAACTAATATTTTCTACCAAATTTCCAGTTTAAATGACTCATATAAGTAAATCAAATAAAGGGTACTTATACATGCACTTATGATTTATATATATTAAATCAATTCTCTTAAGTTGATACAACTTCAACAAACTCTACTTTAATCTGACAATAACTACTTGATAGGCCTGACATATTAGTAACCATTAGTGGTGTTGCTCATATCCACACTATTTGTCGTTGAAATATCATTTAGGTCGAATATTTGATTGAGTAAAAGTACTATACAAGAAAACGTTATACAATTTATTGACAGTATACAACTGCTAACTATAGTAGTAGTTATCAAAGTAACAGAATACAATGCTGAAGGAACTTTTCTTTCTTTCTTAAAACTAAGGGGATCATTTCAACTTCATTTGATATTAACTTTTGGTGTGATGTACTTTGTGATGATAGTAAATATTGATTTAACTATTCATCAGTTGAGCATGTATCCTTCACTTTTAATTTTGGTGTTATTTCTAATGTTTTAAGAAGTTTAAACTATTAGCATCGAATACACATGCAACGCACATGCTCAAAACTAGTGTACAAATAAAAACAAAAAATTCACATCAAAATTTAAGCAAGTCAAAAGAAATCACCTACTTTTTCATTAATTATATGATAAAGACGGATGAATGAATTTGACATCCAAAGTCAAATTCACACTAGATATTTTCATTTTAATTCAACTCCAATTACATATAGAGAAGGTGGGTGAACACCTGCCGCTACACGGAGTACAGCACATAGCATTAAATGGAATTATATGGAAGATTGATTTGAGCTGTTGGTCAATATATGAGCAAATCACATGCCTAATTTCATAATTTTCAAAGTAGGATTCAAAAAAATCAAACTTTAGGATAATAATAGGGAAAAGGGCTAAAAATATTCTTAAATTATATTAAAATAATTTTATAAATAATTTAATCTAAAAATATTTCTACATTAAAGTAAAAAATCATGTCACGTCACACTGCTTTGTTTTTGTTCAATTCTGTGCGCGTAGCTCAGTGGGGAGGCAGGTTGTCACTCACGAGTCACGTGCATTAATCTTGGGCATGTAAGTCCAATATATGAATCCCAACTCTGCCCCACATGAACAAGATCCATTATGGAGGAAAATGACACATGAGTATATCAAAACCAATCAGGACACCATGTACAATCTTATTTAATATTTTACTAAATCATTACGGACTTAAAAAAAAAGAGCACCATGTCGGTCGTGTTATTAGCCTATTCATATAACTTTTTTGTTTTTGATATCTAATATCATACGTGGTTTATTGTGTTTAGATAACTGCACCCTATTTTTACTGTTTATTGGATTTATACTTTGCATTGCTATGCTATTAGCTGTCATATGTTTCTTTTAATTACTATTTTGATTTGCTAAAACCTGATAATCTTTGGAAAACAAGATATCTACCTAGGAGAGAGAGTGATAAAATTATGATTTTGGCAAAACTATCATTCACAACCCACCTAATATATATATATATATATATATATATATGATGATGAAGAAAAGAAAACAGAGTTGAAAGTAAGAAACAAAATGACCAACTTATTGTTCCTCCAATTCCTCCTATTAACCACTGCTTCATCCTTAACTCACATCTCTGCACAGACAGTTCCACCACCGCCGACATCCGCCGCAACTCCACCGTCCCGCGCGGCGCAAGAATTCTTGGATGCACATAACAAGGCAAGAAGTGAAGTGGGGTGTAGACCCTTTGACCTGGAGTCCAATGTTAGCCAAAGAAACTAGCCTTCTTGTTCGTTACCAAAGGGACAAACAAAATTGCAGCTTTGCAAATTTAAGTAATGGCAAATATGGTGGCAATCAATTATGGGCAAGTGGTACCGTGGTGATCCCACGAATGGCAGTCGATTCTTGGGTTGCTGAGAAGAAATTTTATAACTATGAAAATAATTCATGTACAGGGGATGATAAGTGTGGAGTTTATACACAAGTTGTTTGGAAGAAATCGACAGAATTGGGCTGTGCGCAAGCTACTTGTTCGAAAGGACCTGCTACTCTTACTGTATGTTTTTATAATCCACCTGGAAATGTAATTGGGGAGAAACCTTATTGATGTGTGATTTTAAATGATTTGTAAGGTAACTTTTGTGTTTTCAAGTTTGTAGCTTATAATAAAAAGTTACTCTGTTCATTTGCTGCTATTCTCCATTCTCTTTTTCACTTTCAGTATAATTGGTGCAGGGAGACTAAATCTAGAAGTAAAATTTGATGGGTTTCAACTTTTAGTTTTAAATTCGGAACCCATTACATGAAACTTCGAGTTCAAAATTTAGTATTTTGTTGAAATTTCAATAAATGTCATATGTATATTAGGATTTAGGGCCGGTAGCATTTTATCGAAAAAAACTAGATTTGTTAAAGAATGAAAAGTCCCATGTTTAATGATAAGATGGATGGTTTACTTGTAAGGCTTATACAATCTAGTTTCTCTCTCAGATGGCTTTTGAGATTGAAATAGATTCATTTGTTTAATTACTATCAGAGCGAGATTCATTTTAATTGATGTTGGGACTCTAAATGAAATTTGATGAGGTGAGTGTTAAAAGAATGAAAAAGTCCCGTTTCATTACAGAAATTCAGGCATATTGACACAAGATTCATTTGAACCCATTATTTTCGATATAGAACATAAATATATATTTAAAAATTCATGAAATTGCAACAAATAACAGATACGAACTCATAACTGAGTGGAGCGAGGGGCTATAGCGGGAAAAGTTTTAATTGAAGTAGGGTGGAGCTCCTCTCCTTACCGTCAAGTGGCTTTCACTCCTCATAGAGGGTTAGAAAGCGTCAGTTCTCACAGCAAAGATATCATAGGTTCAATGCTAAGAATCTAAGTGTTGACCCATAAAACTTAAAATTTTGAATCCGCCTCTGATTGAATCTACCTGATATCCGCATCATTGACCGGAGACAACCAAGAATCCTAATATAAATAGGAGCTTGGGATTAAGACGTAGTTGATTGATGCAACCACGCCCACAACAAATGTGAATCTGAATTATATATCAAAAACTTGAAGCCAAAAAATGATGTCGCATACAAAACACAGATTGTAGGCATTCTTCATTCAAATCCTCCATTCTAACTCCAAAATTTGTATGCAGTTATACAGAAGAGAGAAAAGGAAATAACCTCTGAAAAGGAAAACACAAAAGAAAAAGAGAGGTCTCACAAAACAATCTTTTCCCCCCTTTTCCCACTCTCAATAATTCCACATGAGATAAACAATGATTTCACTTACCCTTAACGAGACTTGAACCACGACCTATTGGTTGGAGGTCGAAGTGGCTTACTACCAATCAAATCTCTATAATCACTTAAACAAGCTTTAACACACCATTAAACTAGACATTTCACCAGCTCCTTCATTATTAGATACCGGAAAGAAAAATTATGAGGTACATATTCGATGTTCTTGTGAGAATTCTTCTGCTGAATCATCTTTATGCTTCTTGTAAGAGATTCAGGTAAAGATTGCTGGATCATCTCTAAAACACCAGCTGGAAGTAGGCCAGAATCTTTAGCAAAGGACTCCACAACTTTTGGCAAAACAACTTTCTGATCCTTCTTCAGACCAAAAGTTGCTCTAATGTATTCTTCTTTTGCTGCTTCTAGCTCCTGAAACACTCTATTCGGTGTATAAACTCGAACCTGACAATGGAAACGTTTTCCCCGTGAGACAATCAAATGTCATAATTGTTTATCAAGTCCTGATGTCAATTTCTAGCCTTATAAAAAGATATTGCAGCAATGTTCAATGCCATGTAATTCAATTATTATTGAATACAAGGAAAAATGATAATTGCAAACTTTAAGGAGAAATGAAGATTATGGACAATACCGCAGGATCTGAATGATTGCCTGAGCAGAGTGCAAAGTGCAGAAGGGGTTCTGGATGTTCAATAGCATAGGTTCGTCTTTCATCGCCTGCCTTAAATTTTTCCCTAGAAGAAAGTAACAAGCGAAGCCACTACAATACAAGTACTAAATTTGAGAATGCCAACTATGAAACTAGTAAAACGAGACATGTAGGGATCAGAAAATACTAGGCATGAGTATCGGTCACTTAATATGAATACAGTAGGGACAAGATTTTTACAAGAAAAAGAAAATACTTAGATGCTTTTGCAAGTTTCTCGGACAAAGCTGGTTCATGAACTAACACAACTACTTGTAGAGGTTTTGTGTAGTAAAGAACATAGTTGCTGAATATGCAATTTAAGTAGAAATGCATGTATAACAGGAAACTATTTTAGAGGTGTACCTTTCCTGGATTAGACACCTGACATCCCAAGATAGAGTTCTGAATCACATTCGCACTGATTACATGACCACCGACATTATAGGCAGCCTGGATAAAGTAAAAAGGTTAGACAAAATCCACCAAACAACTCTTGGACAAAGAAATAAGTTTGTCTCACTAACCTTCAAGAGTAGATAAACTCTCTTCACAGTCTTTTGTGGAATGCCATAAGATAAAAATGCCTAGATAGGAATAGTTGAAAAACATGGTAAGCTCAGAGTGGATATGGAACTTCACAGACTTCTTAACCTATAATTCTGAAAGTTTAATCAAGAAGGATAATTACATGCATCACCAATGCATTATGTATGTTAATCCAGAATGCTAGCTTTTCTTCATGACTCAATTTTCCCGGATCTATCCCTTCTAGGCGAGAAACAATTGACCTGCAATGTAAAACATTATTGTGCATTTTACAGCAAGAAATTGCTAAAGTACGACACGTTCCACGAGATGCCTGAATCTCAAATTTCCTTACCTGAAATTTTGCAACAAAGGCTCAATATCACCTAGTTTGTGACTATCTTTATATATATATTGTACTTCAACCATTGAGCTGTAAGGTCCAATGGACTCCTTCAATCCTTCCACATGAAAAAGATTGTCACGAACATCAAATGATGAATCTTTCTTTGATCCTGGGCTCCATAGGTCACATTGGTCTTTCGTAGAAAAGGCACTCATTGATGAAAAGGATGAGGTTGGCGAGAGACACGGATTTGCAAGTGGAGGATCAGAAAGTTTGCAAAATATGGTGCACATGCACCTTACCATGTCCTCAGACAACTTGTTTGGTGTCTCTGGAACATGATCAGAAATACGGGTGCCAAGATGCTCCGCCAAACTGATTAAATTTGAAGAAGAATTCTGCGCGTACTGCAAAGAACCAATTAAAGTAAAACTCTTAATTCTCCACTTTTCATTGTTCTGCCCTAGCGAAAATCATGACACTATAACATGGATAGATACAAAAGTAATATCTAATCAATTCCCTTTTCGTCAAAAAGGAAAAAGTGCAGTAAAAACTTATCTCTGATACAACGTACCTCCATCATAGATGAAGGTTGAGACTGACAAGCACGCAAAGCTTTGCCTGGTATATCCCCTGTTGTGGAAACTCTCTTTGACAGATCCGAATGTTGAGTTAGTGAGGAACGACTTCGATGGACCACAGATTCTCTAACTCTGTCTTCTGCTGCGCTAGTTGTTTCTTTCCATGGATTTGACACTGACTGTCTATCAAGCTGAGCACAAGAATTTGTCCTTCTCACTTTAGTATAAGATTTAGAAAATCGAAGGCACCTTCTCATTTTGGCATACATAGGAGATTTTAGTATATCATCTCTTGTGGGAGGATACAAGGATGAGCTCTGTTGATCACATGCTCTTTTACTATATAACGAAAGAAGATACTGCTCCAAACGCCCTTTTTCCGACTCTAGTACTGCAATTTCTCTAATCAGTTCTGTAGTTGGCTGGATCTAATTGAAAAAGACACATGACCAACACAGAGGGTATTAAAAACAACACAAAAAAAAGCTCAATTTTGACAAGAATAACCATGAGTGCGACGGTGAAAAAAATTATGGCAAATTTACAATACAGTAAGTGAGCTTTACACTAGCTATGTTACTTCACAAGGAGATGTAAGAAGTTTGAAATGCTTAAATTTACACAAACAACTGTCGGAATCTCTAACTAGAAGTAACCAGAATAATATGTCATACTATAGTGTTTTCATTAAGGTTACAAGGAACAGGAGGAGATACCTCAGGCATTGAGATCGTCTGAGTGATGTTTTGCGAGAAAGATTCATATCCCAGTGCTTTCTCTAGAGAACGTCGAACTGTGAGTTGGTGCTCTAATCTTCCCTCGAGTTGCATTATCTGTAAAGTAGTTAAGTTTTCGACCAATTTATACATTAATAATTTGTTGAACCAACTAGAATTAATTAACAGTTTCATCATCTCAATTTTCTTACCTCTTCCTTCAAAGAACTTCCGACTTCCTCAAATGACTGCTTCTTCTTGCTCTTACTACAGTCATTTCTATCACCCTTATCCTAGACAAAAAAAAATAAAAATATATATCCTCAAATATCCCAAATGCTTGGTTAATCTAAGGCGTGTTCGTTGTTAATTTTCCTTCCTTTATCTTTGAGAGAAATTTGAAACTTTAGGCAATTGTTTGATGATGTAAAAATAAACTTGAAAGCGCACAAGGAAGAAAAACTACAATGCAAGTTAGCAAGATAAGGATCAAAAGTTCATGATGAGTCCAACAAAAAGTGTAACTTTTTTGTCACATTTTGCTATGAAAGCTCTAATATAAAAACAGGATGAACACGTGGAAGCTTCTTTACCAAATTCAATTGATTAGAGTCCTCTACTGAATGATCCACATTGTCTATGAATCCGCGTGTATACGGGAAACTGCATTCGTGAAGATCAAATAGTAAAGAAAATGTTACAAAATCATACTAGCATAGAAGATTAAGCTAAAAAAAAAAACATTTTCTGGAGTACAAAATGGCTCCTACTATAAACAAACTTCATACAAAAAACTAAAACACTAGGAAATTAACAAGAGAAAATAACAAAAGCCCTTCAATTTTCTTTTTTCCATTTTTGCTACAAAACCTTTGAACTTTTGCTTTTTAAGACCAACATCAATGAAAATGAATCAAGAAAATTGCAACTTAGAGAAACCCCAAATACAAAAAAAAAAACAGAGTTTACAAAATACTACTCTCTCTGCTTCAATTTACGTGATATCATTAAGATTTCAGAGTCTAACAACTTTAGTGTTGATGGTGACTTATAATAATTAACA